GGGTAGAGCCTGCTCGGTAGCCTCGGCTTGCTGTTGTCATGGCTGCCCGGTGATCAATAATGGCAGTAAACTCGCAAACCTTTCCGACAAAGGCTCTCATTAAAGAAGAGTAGTTGTCTTGTGTGGTTGACTGTTGTAAATGCAAATAGCCGGCGTGCGTAAAAAGTGTTCAGACATCCGCTGAATGTCACACGGCACTAAAATAGGAAATTTCTGCAAGCAAAACCTGCTGGGGATTTTTTTTTTTTTTTTGTCTCTTCCGAAAAAATGATGATCAAATTCCGAATTGTTTGTTGGTTTTGCTTCCAGGTTTCTACATGTACATCGAAACATCGAGGCCGCGGAAGGAAGGCGATCAGGCACGGCTCGTCAGTCCCTTTTTCAACATCGCCCCGAAGAACCCCTACGGCATCACCAATCCGCCAGCCTACTGCTTTGGCTTCTTTTACCACATGTATGGGAAACACATCGGTAAGAAAGACGCAGAGTCATCGGTGAGCTGGAAAAGACGGATTGCGCTTCTCAGCCGTGTTCGCGGATCCTTTTGAAATTGTCTCCCGCCCTATTTTTTTTCCAAATTCAGCCAGTTTCATGTGGGATTTGGCGGCCGTGTCTATCAGGTAGTCGAACCACCAAAAAAGTTAAAGAAGCCACGCTTTGTTGAAAGCGGCCACTTTCGGCATCTCCCAGATTGGCCGATGCCACAAAACGCCAAACTGAATTTCGTGCTAACGGCACATCGTCGTTACCTTGAACAACCGTCTGGACGGTCCTCCCCTAAAGAGATTCCGAGGTGTCCCCTTCCCAGCTTAATGTATGCAATAACACGCATCGTTGCTCCTCACACCTTAATTATCATTCCGGTCTATGTAAACACAATTAATGAGGAAGCGCCACAGTGAACGTTACTCACCCCGCGCGAGACATCGCGGTGGGCTTTGAGAGCCGCGTTGATGGATGACTGCACTCGAACCTGAAGCTATCTGCCACCTGCGCATCTCGCGCGGCTCGTATGCTCGTCTTTGTCATGATGGAGCGGTTGTTTGTTTGCGCAATGAAAGACTGCGAGGGGAGGGGAGCGGACAAGCGCCTTCTCGGAGGCATCCTCCCACGATGTAGTGGCTTTTTACGGTGTATTTTACACCAACCAAATAAAAATGTAAAACCTCACCAGAGCTTAGGGCGCGGACTAGTCGGGATGCAAGTACAATGGACGGGGAAAAGGAGCGACGTGATGACTGCAGCCAGTTTAAGCCAGTGAACACCTCTCATAGCGGCTTGCAGCTTTGCGGAGATTACAGGTGTAATCATGCTTTATGTGTGTCCTGTGATGGTTCAGTTGGGGGAGGCGGGGGGGGGGGGGGGGGGGCGGGGGGGGGGGGGGGATAGTAGACAACCATCTCCCGCTTCAGGCGTCGCCGGCGCCGCCGTTGGCTCGGCCTTTGTTCACCAGTGCCAGAGCCACCAGGTGTTTTTATCAACCCACGGGACCACTACTCCACTACTTTTTTTTTTTTTTTGCTTTGCACTGATGCCGTTGGTGTTGCCAAGTTCCAGACCACCGCCTCTGACATTTATAGGCTTCACAAACTCAAAAATGAAGTCTTGTCAGATCAGTTTGAAGCCAGGTGATGTGGAAAGTAGTCTCGGAGAGAAGCTGGTCTGCCAACGGTGGTCAACTCGTAAAAAGGTTAACTCGTAGTAGCTTTATTTAAATCCCGCAGAAAATAAAGCATTTATAAAGTGGACGGGTGGTATTTTAAAATTCAAATTTCAATGAGACGTGTTGAATATCAAAATTAGAAGTTTCATGTCATGTTTTTTTCAGGGTGGAAAAATGACCGGCGACAAAAAAAAAGCATTTTATGAAATGCGGTCAAGCACAGTCAAGAGAGAGGACGTTCCCGTATCCTCACATTTACGCCGATGAACATTGATAGTTTTCAAATGAACCGAACACGGACCCCCCTTCCATTTTCTACAAAGCTTGTCCTCAATCAAGTCACAGCGTAGGTAAGCTGGAGTCTCTCAAGCTCTCAAGAGGTGGGGTACAACGTGGGCCCGATCGCCATCTTATCGAAGGCCACATCACAAATAAGCGCCTACGATGAATCTCTCACGTAAGCTATTGTGAAATCAAAATCATTCCAAAACACAGAATAGCAAGGTGCACAGACGACGAACCCACGAGGCAACACTATCGTGACTGAACTCAACTGCGGGGCTGACGTCTGTGCTCCTCCTCGCTGTCGATAAGACGCTGGCAGCAAGCATTTGGCAGCATTTAGCTGGGTATTCTGGAGAGACCCGAGCGGCATCGCTGCCATAACCCCCCCCCCCCCCAACCCTCCAACCTGCTTCGCTTCCCCCAACCTTCTGTTCCACATACAACCCACTTGGCTGACTCCACCGCTTAGTTCCTCACGCAGCTCCCTTCTACTTCCACGGGGCATCAATAATAAAAAAAATTGACTCAAATTGTAGTTTGTGTGATAGAATATTTCCAAAAATACTTCTGAGCTAAAATAGCGGCCTTTCGGGAATCCTATTCTGATACTTTAGTCATGATAGGACTAAGACAACTGCTCCAAGGTCAAAAGAGGCAGGTTAATGTACTGTACATGTGGACTTTGGCGCTTGACCGCCTGTCATGATGCTCCGGCAGTTGATCCGGTCACATGTTGCCGTGGATGTTGGGAATTTTTTTTTTGGGGGGGTTCCAGCTGACATTAGGAGGAAGGACAAGTGCAAGTATGGAGGTCGAGGGTCCAGAGTGAACATCTGGAGAGAGATGAGGAGGAGCTCGGGGAAGAGAGAAGGCAGCGAGATGAGAGTTCCTCCGGGCCCCCTGTTGAAGATGAGTCGGCCGTGACATTTCCAATTTGCTCAAATTGATCAGCGGCCAGATTCTCGCTCGCCTGCCTGCCCCGCTCGTCTGTGGCAAAGCTCGTGCCCGGACTGCGGTGCTTTATGATGAATGGGCTAAAAGTCAAGGACGTGAAGCCCAGCTCTGATCTTCTGCGGCCAAGTTCCATTTAGTACTGCGCTTCTCAGGTCGGAAGAGAGGTTCGTCCCTAAAACCGGCACGGGAGCGTTGCGATAACCCCAGCCCGATGACGTGAAATCTGCTTCAAAGGCTGTGCGCTGGCTTCAATTATCAGCATCAGTGAAAGGCCATCGATGAAGGACCCCGCATTATGACTGAACTTTACCAAAGAGGACCGAGACCAAGCCGGACCATCTGGGAAAAGCTTCGGAGAACAGATGAAACCCAGATCAAGCTTTTTGGGAATGCACGGCGGCGTTATTTATTTCTTATGCCACGTGACCGCCAGGCATCTGATTGCGTGGCATCCGTAACCTCGAAACCGCTTACGTCCAGACTGTCATAAATCGAAGCCCCTCCGTACGATGTAGCCGTGTTGCCATCCCATTTTTGAGAAGCTCTTTCGGGGGTCGTGTGGTTGACTCAATTTGTGACTTGGCAGCGCTCCGGGTCGCAACACTGCTGATGAGAGGCGAGTCAGGAAGGCTCCAAAAGAAACTCCTCCGTCGTTAGCTGGCGGGCGGCTTACCTGAGAATTAGGGTCACGCTTCATTTAACCGGCTGCACATCAAAGTTGGCCCGTGGTGCCCGCGCTTGATGGGATTAAGCCGGCGGCAAAGCGCGGAGCGGAGGTCTGACCTCACCGCCAGCCAAGAAGGAAGCCTTCTGTTAGCATGGACGCTGGATCATTGCGCATTTTCGGGATCTGTTCCTCGCTCGGGACTGCGGTAAGCAAGGCGCGGGGTGAAAAAGGGTGAAAGTCGGCGCGCAAGGGAGGTCAAAACGGCAGGTCGCGTTGTGCGCATCAGCTCTGCTCCCGCTGGGAAGATCGCTGCCGTGAAAGAGCGTACAGTCGAACTTTCTCATGTTCCGCCGTCTTACCGCTTACTTCTCCGAGACAAAATAAAAGAGAACTCGCGCAATCCGTGTGGGGTGATGCGGTTGCACTTCAGTGTCGTCATTGCCAGTTTCAGATCAAAGCGCAGTGCCAGACGGGAGGTTTCACTAAGGCGAAGACGGCGGGTTCGGGCGGTGTCTTAGCAAAAGACGGTATCTCAGTGTTGTTGATTTTTTTAATTATCCTGGTCTGATTCACATGAATCTGCCCCAATAAATACACATCCACAACCTCAGCAACGGACGTCAGTAGCTGACAATCAAATGAATTTCGGAACCTCGAAACACGCCCGGTGGTGTCAGAACACGCCTGACTGACATTTCACGGGTCCCTATTGCAAAGCCACTACTGACGTTGAGCTTTTGCTGACGTGTTATGACAAAAGTCGTAAAGTGTTAGATTGTGTCAAACGCGTTAGGTTGTCATGCATGACATCTCAAAGAAGAAATTTGTTGTGAAGCCAGGGACGGCGGCATCCGAAAAACAAAGTCGAGTAAGTGAGCAACTCACCATGAAGAGCCGTTTGGGCGACATATGCGTCCTTATCACTTCCAGTGTGTTTTTTTTTTTTTCAAAATAAAATATTTTCTGCCTATTTAAAAAACCCTTCATATATAGGGCGCACCGCATTATAAGGCACATCGAATAGAAGCTACAACAGTGGCTGCAGTTGCGTTATGCATCCACTGGATGGAGCTGTGCTAAAGCGAATACAATACAATACAATACAGATTCATTTGTATTGCGCTTTCACAACCGCTACAGCTGTAACGAAGCGCTTTACAGAACATTTAAAATACTCCGTCCAACAAATCAGCATATTGATCCATTTGTAAGGCGCATCGGATTATAAGGCGCGCTGTCGGCTTTTGAGAAAATGGAATGCGTGGGGAAATAATAATAATAAATACGGTGTTTTAGTTGGGGAGGCATCCATTATTATCGGGTTAGTGACAAAGCCTCGACGCAACGATGAATATAAATCATTGCAAATAAAGTTGAAAGGGTTTACAGTGCTACTTAATGGCTAGCCAAGTAACAAGCAGTATGAACTCAATAGGTCTCAGTCAATTGGAGATTTCAGACGGGGGCCGTGTGTCAAGCTGTGCAAGAAAAGTTTTGTGTTTTTTCCCTCCTCCCCCCAAACTCTTTTTAAATACTACTTTTAACGTTGTGATAATTTCATGAGGTGTCAAATAATTAATGTGAGCTCCGAGAGCCCCGACTTAAAAATGTATCACTTGGCAGGACTTGAGTCTGACCTTCTCGACGAGGCTTTGGATGTCGGTTGAAGCGGCGGAATGAATTGAAAATGCGCGACAGAGGGGAGACTATCTGAGCAAAATGAAAAATGCGTAAAAGGGCCCGAAAAGGTCTGATAGGTCGGTAAGCTCTGCTGGAGAATGTTACAGTGCCGTTAACGAGCCCATAAGCCATATCATTGTCTAGTCTGGATGAAAGTTGAAATAGTTGTTGTCCGTGTGATGGAAATCTCCTGATAACTCCTGTGACAAATGTGAGGAAAAATTCTTCGGCTTGCCTTGTTCTTACCCTTTTTGTCACACATTTTACGAGGAAATGAGTTAGCGTCATTTTATCCTGCCGCTTCTCGGAATTGGCATCGCTCGGCCCTGAATTTTTGGTGCCGAGTGACATCGTTCGTGACATTTTTCAAGTGTTCACAAACACATTTTTTTTTCTACCTCCCTCTCCCTCCCAGGGACGCTAAATGCCTTAGTGAAGCAAAAGGGCCTGGTCAGCTCAGATGTGCCAGTGTGGTCGCTAACCGGCAACCAAGGGGAGCGCTGGAAGCAGGCCAAAGTCAGCGTCCATCCGACCGCGTCATTTCAGGTAAGAACTCTGGTTTCATTAAATATGTTTTACACACCCAGTTAGCACAGTGAATCGACCATATCGTCATAAAAGTTGAATATTATTTTAATGTTATAACTTCATTCGTGAAGAAATGCCACATGAACCATGCCGGAAAGACTCGCTAACTTCTCCTAACGACCCAGGCTAAACTTAGCTCCTCCCCAACATACAAAGGTCAGGTGAGATGTATCACCTCAACAGACTTCCTCGACAACAATCACGACTTTCATATAAGTCGGGGCATCAAAAGAGCACACGCGGCATGACTTGTGAGCGGACTGACACAAATGCGCATTGTATTATACGTTTTCGGTTCTCTCGTTTTTCCAGGTGGTACTCGAGGGAATCCGAGGACCGGGCATCGAGGGAGACATCGCCATCGATGATGTCACGTTGGAGGAAGGGGAGTGTCGAGACCCGCCGCCCAGTTGAGTAGCGCCGCCATGTTTGACACCCTCCGTACAAATACGAATCACCGACATTTGCCGGACTTCATCCGGCGTCTACGTAGGGGGAAGAAAATGAGCCGGTCGCTGAAGCAACAGTGTTGTAATCAAACGAAGGAAGGGACAGTAATTGGGCAATGTGAACACATGGAGGTTAAAAAAAAAAAAAATACAGAAGTAGGGCACAGAAAAGGGCCGAAAATTGAAGAGGTAATCTGGGGCAGGCAGAAGTGACGCCCCTACTTTGATTGAATCTTGCTTCCTTATGCTCCAAGGAGCTTTCTCTCCAGAAACATCTCCACCTCACGTGTCGTTAACAATTCATAGAAAAATGAGAGTCCTCGTCTCTTTTCATCATTGTGGGAGAAATCAGTTTGCAATTTTGAGTCGATGTGATGTATTTATTTTATGATCTGTCATTACTGAATTTTTTTTTTTTTTTTAAATGAATTCACTCCGGGGGCTGCGGGGAGTGGTCGTCGGCCCTCGGGGACGCGTGGGCGACAACGCCATGAATTATAAAATTCAATCTGCCGTTGATGAATCTTACATGACTCGATGCGGGGTCGAGGAGCAGAACGTTTGAGGAATATATAATGTGGTCGGAGGGATCGTGACTTGTGGCTGATGCTGTTCATGAAAAACAGTCCAACGCGACCTCACGGCGGGGGTTCATCCTGCCCAAAGGCGAACGTTGCTCCATCAATGCCACCTGTGCGCCAAATGCAAAACTCGATTCGAAGTGCGTTCGAAGCGCCGCTTTTGTTTCGCCTGCAAGGTTGTCCATCCGTCAAAACCGCTCCCTTTTTTTTTCTTTCCAGACCTCAGTGCCATCGCTCAGTCCACTTCCCTGCATATATGGCTGCTGTGCATCACCGTGGTGATGACCCTCCTGGAGGGCCAAAGGTGACCCTTCCGGTCGTCGTCTCAAGAGGCTTACCTTCAGACCTGCCGTCTGTGAGCTGTCCCCTCGGCATCCCGTCACCAAAGATTCACGCATCCCGAAAGCGACGACGGTGTCCCCCGCCACCCCGCCCCCCCGTCCTCCCCTGAAAAAATTAAACTTTGTTTTTTTTTTTTTTTTTTTTTTTTTTTTTGAATGGAAGAAAAAGTAATAATCGAGATGTGCTAATTTTTTTGAAGTGGGGGGGGGGGAAATGACAATGCAGCACTCCTTGGTGCGGGACTCTAGACGAGCACAAAGGGTTCACTTTGGCGGTGCATCGAAGGAGGGGCAGTTTGTAAAGCACAAGAACAATTTCGTGAAGTTATATGAATTTTAAAAAAAATAAAATAAATATATAAATATATATATCTTTGCAAGGCAGCAGAATATAAATGCTGCTGACATTTTGGAGGAGGAAATTGAATCAGAACTTTCTCCGTGTATCTTTATCTTCATTTCCCCTTGCACCAGATGCCAGTTGCTTCTTTTTTTTTTTTGTTTGTTTGTTTTGGGGTTTTTTTTTCCCCCACTGGCCTAGTTTTTTTTTTTTTTTCCTTTTTATCTGCTTGGTGCTGTTCTGAAGAAAATCAAGACCTATGGCAACGTTTTGCTCTGTCTGCTTTAAGACCCCCGCCCCCCCTCTGCCTCCCGCTCCCCACATCCCCCGACTCCCATCCCCCATGGCTGCCTATGTACTTTTTACACTGTGCCCACGAGTCCAAGTGGCCAACCGATGGTACGATGGCAGAAAAAAAAAAAAAAAAAAAATCGCTGAAATGACAGCAAGGGTGGAGAGCGAAAAAAAAAAAAAAAGCAAAGGTCGAGAAGTCCAGGACATGATTGATTACGGGGCGACGCTTCGATGAGCGAGGCCTGACACAGTCGAGCTGGTCCGCCGGAGACAAAGAAGAAGCCACTTTTCTTTCTGCCATGAAACGAAGTGCCTTCACGATTACAATGCGGAATCGCAAGCCCGGCTGTCGCGCAACATCGGACACACACGTCCATTCTTCATCTGATGGGCTATTTTCTACATGTGTCTCTTTTTGCCCCACCTCGCCCCACCCCAACCCCCACCCCTCCCCCACACAAGTGCTGACGGGGTATTGAGTCTTGTAGGCCAAGGACCATTTGCTAGACCGCAGGCTTGGAAACTAAATAAAATGTCGGCTCTGGATATTTTTCCATGGATAAAAGACACTTGTTGGCTTGACTACCCAACCGAGGTAGCTTTTTTTTTTTTTCTTTTTTAAATAATCAAAAACAAGAGGAACTTTGGACGAAGCGCTCATTTCCGCCGCCATTTCTACGACAACACTACCAAGAACACAAAAATGTGTTCATCCTAATGAGAATAATGATGAGGAGAATATTAATGTTGATAATAGTCCTGATATTTTATTACTCCAGCGAGAATGTTTCTCCGCTTTTACACACAAACTGTGAAGATATTTGACTGTGGACGATCTACCTGAGACCCTAACCTTAACCAGCGGGGGTTTTTAAGAAATGTATTGTACAAACAAAACAAAACAACAACAACAACAAGAAAATGAAACAAAAACAACAACAAAGAAAATGAGGACATTTCCTGTTCATCGTTGTTTATGACAAATGCTTTGAGGACTTGTCTTGTCTCCCCCCCCCCCTCTCCTCGCCCCCCTTTCTATTCTTTTGGCTCCCATGCATTTAAGAAATATCCAAGCGGATGGAAGCATTTGGGATGATGCCAATCGTGTACGTTGTATAATTTGTAAATGTTAAAAAAATCTCTTTGGCAGAGGTTGACGATCAGTGTTTTATGTTGGCATCAGGGAAGCACAACATTTGAGCTAAAACAAAATGCATTTACATTTTTTTAAATTTGTTTTTGCACAAAGCAGAATTTAGTCAAATTTCATGCCTTTTTTTTTTAAGTTCATAGATTGTTCAGCTTCGGCCTAACCTAAATTTATTTAGCTTCTCCCAAAAGGGTCACAGCAGGTCCTCGGTTGACACTGGCGGTCCCAAATTTGTTGATTAAGCCACGCTAACAGAGCATTTGAGTCATAATTAAAGCAAATACAATATTTGCATGGAAAACACTTCTTCGTCATCAATATAAAACCAATCAAATTAAAAAGACAAAGTGCGGCAGCAACTGGGTAAAATGTGTGCCCCCCTTTGTCACCTCAAAATTACGTCAACATCATCGTAAGCCGAGAACCCCCTCGACTTAGTTTCCTGACGCCAATTTGTCCGTTTTGTCTTGGGAGATCTGCAACTCCAAATTTTGTTCAGGTTCCAAATAAATCTTTGCTCCATAAGCTGAAGGGCTTCAGGGCGGCAGCAAATGTAGCCCAGCGGAAGCCGGAATTTGCTGATTCATGGCGCACCGAGAACCTGATATGATGATAAATATCCTGAGCAAAACAGAGCACAATGATGGGCCTCCTGCTGTTATTATTTAAAACAATTCATCCTTGTGTTTATGCTCCCACAAGGCACTGCTCATAATGAATGTAGGCAGTGCCTTTGTTGGAGACATTTTGTTTGCATTCTTTATGGTGAGAAACTTTCCACATCCAGAAGTTGGTCTAACTTTTTAGGCGGTAGCTTCTTGCTATCATCCGTCGCTTTTTATACAACGTCGCGGCTCATGAAAAGTAACAGCGTTTGGTTTAGGGATGGCCCGCAGCCCTGTATCCCTCTGGAATAGCTCCGCCCCCTCCATTGAGCAACAGCTGAATCCCAGCTCGACATTCGGAACCAAAACAAAAGCAATCTGTCGTTGGCTGACCAGAGTTGAGAAGCATTGAAGTGATACAGTATGTTCACAAATTGAACTTTTGACACTCAGGCAGCAAGTGCAAGAACCCATTTTTGTTTCTCATGTACCGTTACGGCCCCCCGAATCCTCCACTCTTAATATAAGCCTGCATTTTTGTACTTGCACACATTCCCGCAGGGTTAATGCATACACATGCAGAGGATTTACCGGTTTGGAAAAATGTAAACATTGAGATTTGATGGCTCCACTCTGGTTGATGGAGAGACTTCTGTGTGGCTCAAAGGCTGTGAAATGTTCATCGACAAATGAGGGAAAACGAGTGCAAAGTGGAGCTTTCGACGTCAGTGAGGTTTTGCCATTTATGTCAAATGGTCACATTTTTTTTTCCTCCTCAAATATAAGCGCACCGTGCTTTGCGTAAGCCTGAGGCATTTCATCCAGTATGTGTTGCTTCGCTGACAAAGCAACGCTCGTATGACATAAAAACAAAAAACAAGACAGTCGTTCACGCGTCTTTAGTATCCGCAACAACGCTGACAGTTCTCGAGGAGTTGTTTTGGGTCAGGTGCGTGCGCCCTGTCGAGATATAAAGTGGAAATTGCTTTTTTTTTTTTTTTGGTTTGTTTGTGGCCCTGCAGAAAAAAAGCATGACACTAATTGATTTTGTGTTGCACGGTTGCCATCTGCTTGGTGGGCGGAGGGGATGCGCTCCTGCAGACAGGAATAGCGCTTTCTTCACCAAGGCGCTCCATTTGACACGCTCCGTCCGTTACCTTGGCGCCAGATAAATTGGACGAGTTAATTAAATATTAGGGCTATTGACGATGAAGGGAAGGAATAAGGACGCGTTGCCATCGAACACTCTTGGGTTTCGGCTTTGATGAAGTCATAATACATTTGTTAGGAGAGCTACTTGCTGCTCACTGAATCATTATAATATCCCGAAAGGGAAGGAAATCAATCTGTTTGTGAATGCAGACTAAATCCAAAAGCAGCGAAGGGGCCGACGAGCGATCTTTCAAATTTGACACCATGCCGAGCCCACTTCAAAACTTCTCAATTTAGCGTCATCCCTGATCCGAGGGAGTCTCAAGTGAGCGAGCAGTGCCAACATTTCCCTCGTCTCCTTATCAATCTCGAAAAGGGCTGAGCCACATTGTGCCATTCATCACGCTGCTTTTTTTTTTCCAGCCTCTCAGTGTATAACCATCCACTAATTATCACCCGCGCACCAAACCCTGATCCACTCAACTGTCATTCTTCTCTGTTTTGTGCTCAGTATTTATGCGACAATCGGGCTCCCCCCGCCGCGGTACTTTGGATTTATCACCCGTTTTTAGTGCCATACCTGCAACTAATGAGAGAAATAATAAAAAAAAAAAAAACAAAACAAATGTTTGATATGTTATGTGGAACCCATTTGTTGTAGCTGAGATGTTTCTTTTATGACTTAAAGTGCATTTACAAAAAAAAAATTTGGGTGCTTCACAATAGCAGGAGAAAGAAGGTTGAAACATGGCTTTTCGAAATCGATGGCGTTCAAATGCTAAAAATGGTTTGAAATGATGGACATTTGTGTTTTTTCACCATTTTAACCAGTTCCAAGGTTTCTTTCCATTTCAAAATCAAGCAAGTCAAGTCCAGATTTAATTTCAAGCAAGGCAGAAGTCATACAATCTTGCCTAGTCACAACCTACTGCTACAAATTCATAAACAGTTTCTAAATGGTGCTAAACTGATCTCCTTGTAGTCTATTACTTTATTGCCTTCTCGGTTAAATGAACACATCATGTTGGTTATTAGAACCAACAGAAAGTCTAGTTCCTGTTTTACCAGTTACAGGAGAGCTAAAGGTTGTTTAGGGTAGCGCTGGGGTCGTGACCCGTGGCTCCAAGGCCGCATGCGGCTCTTTAGCGCCGCCCTAGTGGCTCCCTGGAGCTTTTTCAAAATGTTTGAAAATAGATGGGTGAGGGAAATATATATTTTTTTGTTTTAATATGGTTTCTGTAGAAGTAAAAACATGACACAAACATTCTTAACGTTTTCCAATGCTGTAAAAATGTGTAGAATAAATATTACATTTCAACATTTCTGTCAACGAAGATTTGCGTCATAGTCTACGACGCACGTTTCTATTAGCAGGGCGGGATGCCAGGCAGGTGGCTCTCGCAAAAAAAACAAAACAAAAATGGCGTTTCATGTACAATTCACTGAGGGTACTGGCAAAGAATGGGAATCTGGAGGGCCGAGAGAAGCATTTTAAAACGGTACACGTGAGATATGATAGTTAACACGCTGCAAAAGTGCGCCCCGTGCCT